TACGTAGTTCCAATGTCCACATTTTAGGTCCACAGGTGGCGTATCGCTTTGGCGGATCCATAGACATAGGAATAAGGAGACGGAGTGTAAGCCGCGGGGGTGAAGCCGCTTTCGGGGAGCGGGGACTACGGTCACATGGTACTTTGGTGCCGCATTTATGCTACAACTAATGCCAATGTGGCACCAAAATATCACGTGACTGCTATTCCCCGCACCGCGGAACTGGCTTCACTCCCCTCGCCTAAAGTAAGATTTTATGCTCTGTCTCCTTATTTCTATGTCTATGGGCGGATCACGTAAAACCTGGCCGTGGCGTCTCTCAGGCTTCTCTCTGATCGTACTAAACTGATACGCGTATTAAATGATACAAATGACGATGTAAACGCACAAAACGCATTTTGGAAGGAATTTAGCATTAAGCATAACTTCAATTAAAACCGGTATTATCATTAACCTTTGGTCTCTCTCAAACGATATTATATTAAAATGTCATGTAAAAAAGGAGTAAATGGCTGCGTTCAGCAGAACAACTGCTGAATTGTCGTCTAGTCAACACTTAACGTTGATTTGTTGGTTCTAAAAGTAAGAGCCAATCATGTTCGATTGCTACCAAGCGATTTGTTCTGCTGAACGCGCCCAATGCGAGAGAAGATTACTTATCGTAATCATTATGCGTCTTTTTCGACTATATTGTAAATTTTGAAACATTTAAAACCTGGCCATACACTTTTACGTACTATTATTATTTATATTTTCTCGTCTTTATTCAAATAAATAATGTACTCTACTTACAAAACAAGAATAAACTTAAGCAAATTGCAATTCCAAATACCACCGCTAGAAGGCAATCGACATGAATTAAATTCGTATTATTTTTTCTCCTTTAGTACGTTCAATGTACACGCATCCGTACTAAAGCTTTGGTGTCCTGATGGAAATATTTTGCTGAAAGTACTATGAAATCAATAAAAAGTAAAATAAAAGTTTTTGAAAAATTACTGAATATATTTCAAAATAAATCATAATTTTTTGTATGAAAATTTAATGTAATGCTATGAAGTATAAGGAAAGATAAAATATACTGCTGAAAAATGATAAAAGAGTTTTTAAATAATTATCATTATGAAATTTACTGAATTGAACTGAAAACTGTTACTTTTTAATGATAAGTTGCTGAAATATTTATGAAATTAATTAATGGAGTTAATTGAGAGAAATTTTCAAATACATTTCAGTAAAATTTCGTTATATTTTTAGAACAATATTTCTATCAGAGTGGGCACCAAATTTAATACGCGTACCAATGTTTTGACGATGTAAACTAAGTCTATATTTCATTTTTATTGACAGAGACAATGCAATGACATCATTAATTACTTTTAAATTAATCTAAATTTGTCCAGTTAAAAGAATTAATAAAAAAGTGTTTTTAATAAACATACTTTTTTCAAATCTAATACAATATTTGTCGATAAAACTTTTTCACATATTAACGTTAAGTCACAGCTTTTTATCTTGTTTTTAATTATGCAAAACTTGTTTCAATTATTTAATTATATCTTTTTCAAATATATTTTAATATTTACATATTTTCAGAATATAGAATATTCACGATTTTATATCATATTTTATATCATAAGATCATATTGGAAAACACGTCTTATTTTCCTTTACAGATATAAACCACTATTATCTTCATATAATTCTATATTTATTACATATTACAACTGGATATCTGCAAGTTATAAAGAAAGTAATATATATGAAGAACAAGAGAAAATAGGTATAGAATATTATAGGAGTGATAAATGCCTACAAATGACTAAAAATACGATTTGGTTTTGTGGAGATTATTTTTTTGCTTATAATCGCGCAAAGAACGGTACCATTAAAAAGAATGAAAAGATTGTGGGAAATAATAACACCTTTATTAAATCTATTGCTCTTTGCGATGATTATATTATAAGTGGCGATGTGTGACTATTTATTTATAAACTGTATTTTATGTTTATTTTTTATTTTTATTTTTGACAAAAATTCTTGCAGAAATGGTATTATTAAATACTGGAGAATTGAATCAGAGAAAGATGGAAGAAGTTATCTTAAATATTCAATAATACATAATGTAGATGAAGAAATTGATCACATAGACGCAACATCACAACACATTATAATTGGTTCTGAGAATTTTATAAAGGTAAGATTCAAGAAAAATTGCAATAATGCTATATTAATGTAGTATGTAAAAAGTATGTTTTTGCGTAGATACTGAAATATACAGACGATAAAGAATGTTGTACGAAAGAAAACGAAATATTTTGTAATGTCGACATGAAACGACATATGGGCAAGTCTCATATGAGATCAATCTCATTTGATCCTATAGAAACAAAATTTGCTGCTAGTACCTATAATGATCTTCATTCATCGTCGTTTCTAATTTATGATATTGAAAAAAGGTAAGTTTTATTTCAATTAATTGATCAGTTTCTACAAATGTTGGGTTAAACGTTGACTATGTTTGTACAGACATTATTTTATGATTTGATTTAAAAACATTTCTAATTATAACTTACAAGGACGGTTTGATAATCCAAAAATTCTAAAAAATCTGAAACTTCAGAAATATAATATATAAATCTAATCAGAAAGCTATTTCTTGTTTTGGCGAAAACTATTTTTAGAGGGGAAAATACACTTCGGAAAATTAGATTTTCTTTGAAGAGTGTTTCCAACCTTAAAATAATTTTTTAGTTAAAACAAAAAATAGCTTTTTGATTAGGTTCACATGTATTATATTTCTGCAAAGTTTCAGATTTTTTAGAATTTTCGGGTTATCAAACCTTCCTTTTAGTGAGTACTGTATAATATTATTTGAAATAACCGTCAATATTTTTCTACTTGTTAGCAAATTTATTTTCGTTTTTGTTTTACTGTTTTTGACCATATATTTATATATAAAAGTTTCAAAAATTATTTTTAGTCATATATAAATTTAAAATTATAATTTTTTAGATATCTGTTATTCTGATGTATAAGGATATAATTGCACCTTTTTATTCCCAAAGATGACAAGAATATCTTGTTACGGCTTTTCAAATAACTGTCCCAGACAGCACACATGTCTAAAATCGGGACATAAGACATCTTAAAGACATCATTAAGACGTCTTTTAGATACCATGTCTAAAAGGCGTCTTAATGACGTCTTTAAGCCGTCTTATGTCTCGATTTTGGACATGCGTGCTGTCTGGGTGTCATTCTATTAAACACCGAAATCTAATTTTTTTAATTGTGTGAGAATGTGGACTGTGAAACCAATTACCAGAGATTTGCGTAAATATATCTTTATTTATATCCCAGGGAGAAACACAAGATCGGATATACGTCTATTAGATGTTGGAGCCATCTAGTCTAAAATAATGTCTAGAAATATCTAAATTAGATGCCATGTAATCTTGTGTT